ATTTATATTTTAAACAAATCTCAAGAGGTATATTTATAATTTACTCTATTTTTTTTAAACCAGAATATGAGTGTAATTTGGAATTTACCCTAACAATTATTAATATTTCCACTTTCATACAATTTCCTTTTGAAGTAAATATTAATTAATTAAAAATATTCTCCACAACCCCACCCCACAAAGAGAATATAAAAATGGGCACGTGATTTTCGATTCCTATTTAGGAATTGTTTGGGGTGTCCTAAATAAGTGTACTTTTTGACTTTTTATGAAATATGGATTGGGTATGGGTTGAGTTTGAAATGATGTGATAGAGAGGTGATGTGACTTAAATAAGATAATGTGACTTAAATAGGATAGTGAGTTTTTGACTTTTTAAATTTTTTTGAAAATGCCAAACTTAGCCTTAGTTTATCCGCAAATTGACTACACTCTCTCAATAATTTCATTTGTGTCACGTCTTAGCTAACGTATGGTGGTAGGGCTGCACCATGCGGGAACACGATAGTGAAGTGGCAAGAAAGTTAATGCATCACCGTTGATTTGTGTTGATCATCACTCAAAATGATTTAAAGCTATGTATCAATTTTTTAGACTTGGGTTTATTAATCAATCACGTTGTTTTGTGGAACCCACGTGTTGCTTTCATCACTAGACAATGACATGCTTGTTCACACTGGATCACAGCCACAGGAAATGATTGCTTCTGGGTTTCTGATTTACTCGTCCGAGTTAGTAATCCGCAAAATGGTTTTAATTTGTAAATTTTTTTGGGTCAAGTACAGACCAGTCGACAAGTATGGCTTAACCCCATCAACAATGAGTAATTAGAACAATGAGTAATTAGAGCAACTCCAGTGGCATGATAAAGCTAAAATATAGTTATAGTTTCAAAAAATACAGTTTCAATAGCCTGTTAAAGCTCCTGTCAAAAAATAGCTTTGCTATATTTTGTGTCAAATTTGACATAAATTTTACCTATAGTTAGAAGTGTCAGCACAACAACATTGTCTAGAAATATTGTTATTTTTCTTCCTATTCACCCCCTCAATCAAAATTCCATAATATTTAACAATTCAGCCAACAAAATTTTGTAAGCCCGATCGTCCGATTGTACTTAAAAAATGGTGTTGGTTAAACTAAAAAATAGCAACTCAACCGTTGGAGTAACATTGCTATTCTATAACTATTTTACATTATTTATTGCTAAATTATAACTTTAACTATTGATTTTAGCTCTTCACCATTTGAGTTGCTCTTATTCAATCTTGTCACGATGCTGCTACTGATCTCTCTCGAACTTTGCAAAAAATATAACAAGTTCCAATGTTTTAGCATAATTATATTAAGTTTTCTTAATGTTTTAATTCACACGACTTTCGCTCTCATTTTCATTAATAATTTGTTAGTTACATGTATGAAAACATAATATTGTCATATTTTTTACATTAAAATATATATTTTACTTATTTATTTTTGTGTTTTTCAAACTATCTGTATTAATTATTGTTGTTTAGTCTTACTAAAAAATAAATTGGAATCATTATATCAATACTGTAGAACTTGTTATGTATTTTTTAATCCCAAAAGAGATTAACGTAATTTATCCAAAATAATAATAATTTGGAGAAATTTTAAAAAAAAAACTATTGAACAAGCACACAATTTGTCACGACCCAAACCCGTCCCATAGGTTTAGCATCGTAACCGGCCCGTAATTTTAGGATTATCAAAGGCCTCTGAACAAATTAAACAAAATACATGGGCTAGCGGAAATAAAATACAAACATATAATATCTATAGAGCTGTGTAAACATATATGGGACTGAAACATTTAAAAATTAATTTACATAATTAAGACGTCATCCTTGCGTCACCATATACAAATAAACAAAAGACTTGTCCATCAAGTAACAGAAGAAATACAAAACAAAAGAAAAGTCTTAGCCATTGATCACAAAACAGGACCACTTCTGAGATGGGAACCTCTTCGAGAGGCACAGTGGCTGGCTGACAAAACGGAGCTCTAGGCAATCAACTCTATGGTTGGTCACGCGCCTGGTCACTTGCATACATAATTGATACGGTGAGCTAGAGCCTAATGAATAACAACAAAGTAAAAGGTTTATGAATGATGTCCAAACAGTTTCAAAAATCAGAGTTCATATTGAAAACAGATTCAAAATCACATATTTAACCAGAAGTCATAAGCAGTTATATGTGGTACATCCATTAGCTATTATATCAAATTGGTCCTGAGACCTACATACATAGTCGGTACCGACAACCCCAAAGGTCCATATCTTATGTACAAGTAGCCATGGTATTGTTTCCTCCCAAGTGAGGGTCATGTGAACATAGACCACAGTATTATTTCTCCCGAGCAAGGGTCATATGATCATAAGCCACAGTATTGTTTCCCCCTGAGCGAGGGCCATGTGAACTAAGGATGCCACAAATACATTTAAGAAAATTGGACATTCATTCATTATTCATAAAATAGCATTTCTTAAACCAAATCATATCTTATCATTTTGAAACTACTTTTATTCAAATATATCAGGTAGCAGAATGGACAGAACAGACAGATCGAATAGTCTATGGCGCATGACCTACACAAACACATAGCGGATATACATTGAAACACATGCCCAAAAAACACTTAACTCATTCATCTTCTATCTAGGTGTATTTCTATTCTTTATCCTCATTATTATGTTTTAATTAAGGCTTAGGAATACCGAAGATGCAATAAGGATGCCAAAATATGGGTTGAAACACTTAGTCAAATTTCTGAAAATAGAGTCTTCGCTTGAGCACAACTTTTGTCACTCGAGCCGTCTGCAAAACTTTGCAAAACTTCTGGAAGTTTTCATTTTATGCTTGAGCGCAACTTCCTACGTTCAAGCTGAGGATCAAAAATAAGGATGGTCACTCAAGCGCAGGTTCTGCTGCTCGAGCCAACCTCCAAACTCTGAAAAAGTACTGGAAACTAGCATTCTTCGCTCGAGCACAGACGGCCTGCTCGAGCGAAGAGTGCGAATTCTAGAATTTTCAGATTGCACTCCCAATTTCAAAACTCAAATTCAAAGTGTCAAAACACATCTTTTGGGCCAAAAACTTGAGAAAACATGTATAAACTTGTAATACATCAACGATTAAAGATCATTTCATAAAATCAAGTCCTAAGAGCATGCCAATTGTTCATAATCAAACTTGAAATTTAAAGTATAATACATGCATGGCTTGACATGAACTCAAACCATCCAAAACACGATCAAATGAGATATTTAGCTCAAAAATATGTTGAATTCTTAAAACATAGTCAAAATAAGAACATGTATGTGAGAATTCTTTGAAATTAAACTCAAATTATGATGAAATGAACATGAAATGGACATGCATGCATGATATGACTCAAATTCTTCAATTCTAGCTAAATTCTTATGTTTAGCCAACTTAATCTCTTGAATTCTTACATTAATGTCTTAAATACAAAATTTAAGGACATGTTTCTTACCTAGAGTTCTCAATTCTTTAAGGTTTAGTGATAATCTTGAGCAACTCTCCAAGTCTCCTAGCAAATTCCTTCAAAACCTCAAGCTTTGATCTCAATTCTATTTTGGTGTCTCTCTCTCTCTCTCTTTTTCTCTCTCACACACACACGTTTGGGAGCTCAAAGATGACAAAAGAAGAGTGTTTTGTAATCTAGAAGCCTTATATAGGCTTGGTTTAGTGTTGGCTAATCAAACTTGGTTTAAACTAATCAAATTGGCATTATTTATTCTAATTATTTGGTTCCGAATCAGATTTCAATTAAATTTATCATAAAATTCTAAAAATTACAAATTACATATAAACCGAATCAATTTCGTAATCGGATGTCGATAAGACCTTTAATTCGCATATCGAATCAGAAATACAGATAGATATTTTTACATCAAACAGATGTAAGTACAAATAACGCAATACACTTGCAATTAATTTAGAATTTATTCTTAATTACTTATTAAGTATTCTTAATCAAGGATTATAGACTAATCACAAGTTGAGGTTATTACACAATCATATGATATTTTTTAAAATACTAAATAATTCATGCTCAAATGGACAAAATTGCCCTCTATCATACTAGAGAGAAGTCATATCCTACCGACAAAATCACACACAAATTTTTTTTATAATTGAGATATTAAAATATATAATTTTGAAGTTGAAAAAGGATAAAATGATATTTTAGACATCTTTATCATGAGTTTTCCTCAATAATTTTGTTGTATTTTTACTACAAAAAGATATATCAATAATTTAGAAGTTTAAAACTTAAACAACTTCTAACCACACACTTTAAAATAACATCACATTGGTTCAATTTTTAAATTTAAACAATTAGATTAGTACAACAAAGTTATGAGAGGAGATTGATAGTATTTTTTTGAAAAGTAAATGTGGCGTCTTTTTATCTATAAATGTATATGTATTTATCTCTTAAATTTAAAAATCACATAAATATTGCCTTTTGGAGGAGGTTTAAAAGATGTGAAATAGATATATCATTCGAAAAATGATTGATACACATAATTTGAATTTGTCTGAATTTTATAAGTTGAACGATTGTCCGGATGATTAGTGTAACTTTTGTTAATCGTAGTTGTCTATCTTGTCAATCGCGGTTGTCATCTTTATTTCTGAATGAGCGACTAGACGACTGATATGCATAAATTCGGACGATTATGAGAGTCAAAATCCGATAGATGTAATATATTACTCATATTTTTATAACTAAAGGGGTTAAAATCTACAGATTAATAGATGATGGGGTAAAATAATATTTATTGATAGTTAAGAGATTGTTTGTGTAATTATACCTAAAATAAAAAAAGAACAAGATGACGGAACAAGAAGGTGCCAAGACTCTAAAGTCCTTACGGCGTAATAATATCAAAATTTACCTTTTTCCGTATTGTGTGGATTGCAGTGGCCGGAGCACCAGCACCAGCTGTGCGTGGTTTTCTTTTGTCCCTCTCTCTCTCTCGCTCTCTCTCTCTCTCTATCTATCTGTCGTCTTCCATAAACAGCACACAACAACAAGCTTTGCTTCTCGACCGTTGTCTCAATCTCCTCTGGTTTTGATTCATCTCAAAATCTGTATGTCTATATCCGTATACTCTATCGAAGTTCTGTAATAGCTTTGCATTAGAGAAGATAGAAGTTATTTGTGCAATAGATTGAGCTTTGATGTATAAGTATAGGTTTTTATGAATCGAATTCAATCTGATTATATTTTGATTTAGCTTTGCAGCTTGAAGGATTTGGCGAAGAACGATGTATTTGACGGAACGAAGCGAAATCTAGGGATTGTGGAGTTGAGTTGGCTTGCGATCTCTTGCTTTTTTGTGTGTGTATGTGTATGTAATATAGGCCGGGCCTGAGGCTCGGGATTTGAACTATATGGAGTCAGCTAAGGAGCGACAGGGTTGGATCGAAGAGGAATCCAAAACGAACGGTCCTTTTTTGCAGAAGTTCAGGCTCTATGAGACTCGCGCGGTATATTTCTTCGATCTTTGCTGTTTGTGAATTTTTGTTTCAGATTTAGTTTGTTGCTTTGATCTTTACTGAACTGCTTGATCACATGATTGTTGTGATTTTATCGGATGCTAGTCTACTTAGGTCAATTTCTGAATTGTGTTTTTGGAAGTGCATACATTGATTCGCTCTGGCTTGCTTGTTTGAATTATAGATTTGAACAGTTAAAGCATTATGTGGAAATGTTTCTTTATTGTTTCTTTTTCTTTCCAACTTTGTGAATTTGTTTTTCTTATTTGTGTGTGTGTCTGCGTTAGATGATTTTTTGCTAGGAAAATTCTTAATAAGCAATATAACTACAAAATTATTGTGAAAAAGACAGTAAATTTGAACTTCATGATGACTCAAACCAAAAAAATTCGGCAGCATGATAAAATTTGAGTTGTATGGAGTTTTGTACTTATTGCGGTTGTGCTGCAGCATCTACCATTTACATATGATTTGTTTGTCAACATCGTCTAGGAAGCACAAGTTCACTTATGTCTCATCATGCTGTGATAGTTTAATTTTATTGAGCTTGTTTGTGCTGATTTACTAAGGAATTCATTCCTTGAAGTTGCTAGGAATGCATTGTGATTCTTTCATTAATCAAATATCATTTGCTCGGTTGATTATTTTTTTGTTTTCCCTGATTTGAATTGTTATCAATATTAAAATAGGGTGTGGAGAAACCTTTTCCTTCAAATCCAGATAAGAGCATTTGAATCGTAATTTTTCTTGCATTATTTTGCTCACTTCACAAATAAATAAATAAATGCTGATGAATTTTGTGAGTGAAGTCAATCATAAACCCACAATGATGTGAATGCGATACTGTATCTTCTGAGGTTGAAGTTTGCCATCAATAATTGCCATTACTAATGGAATCCCCTTTTGGAAACTGTGAGGACCTTACTTTTCCTTTTATTCGGATACTTCCAAAAGTTAGAATTTTTCTCAGTGCTGGCACTTTTTCTTTATTCCCAGCCCTATCATTATGGAAATTTCTCGCTCTCTCCCTCTCTCTCCAATGCTAAAAACTTTTCGAAATTTTGTGGAAAATTTCATGGCAGAGGTGAGGTGCATAAATCTTGTGACGCAGGGGAACTAGTTGCTTGAAATTCATTTTCAAACAAATTGCCTAATGCTTTCATCTCTGTGTATGAAAAATTACTTACAAAATTCTCCCTTTCCTTGATAATGGTCGACTCTGGGAACAAATTCTACATATCTTCTTAAAGCTTGTATGACCTCTGATTCTTTATGACAGACTCATGAACCCCTTTTGAACTGAATGGGGACAAGTTGATGTTAGTCGAATACCTAGTTTTTTAAAGTTCCAAGACATTTCCATCCAGGGTAGATACTAGATAGGGCGTTGTCCTTACTAATTCAAAAGCCAATGATGTTTGTGATATACCTGCTCTACTCATTGATGTTCCAATTACTTGAGGTGTGTTGCTGTAACTTTAATGCCATTGGGTTCTATCTTGGTTAATAATTGGTAAACGCCACTGTCAAATCTTTTATCAAGCACCATCATAGATGTTTGGAGTATGCTCTTGCAGGCATTTCCAAATAAAAGTATTGTTCAAATAGTAGGGAATTGATAACAAAGTTGCAAGTGAGAAATCCCATGAGTTTGGGATAAAAAGGAAATAGCTAGTCACATATAAGGGGTGGCAAAAACCATTTTGAGTGAAGATATTTCATTGTTAATTACAGTTGAATTAGGCAAGTGATGAGAGTATTTTCTAGGATGGCCTCGGAAGTTATTTCTAGGCTAATTTTCTCTTATTTTAACTTTGTTACTTAAGTAATGCATGGCCGAAACTAATAAAATGAAATTGTTATTTATGTTTGGAATTGGTAAATGCTGGACAATGAAACAAATCCAAGCGATGGGCATCAAACAATTCCAGATTCCTTACAATTGCTTAAAAAAGAAAGAGCTATCAAATGAATATATAGTATGCTAAGGTGTGAGTGGAGATGGATATTCTTGGTTGGAGAGTTTGCTCGACAACGAGAGAGAGGCCAAACGTCCCTAGGTGGCTTCTCGGACTAAGGTAGTGGATACTATAGTGGGTTTTTGGGAAGTTGCTATTTTAGTAGGCTATTTTAGTTTTTGGCTATTTTAGTAAGCTAATTTTTTTTTTGTTTGGGAAGATGATTAGATTTTTTTGTAGTTGGATGTGATGTTTGTGAGAGAAAAAGTGAAATGATTATGGGTTTGATATAATATTTTGTCTTTTAAGCTACTTTAGCCTATTTTGTCTTTTTGTGGATTTTACCCTTAAAAAGGCTAAAATTTTTGTTGCCAAACACCCTACACAGCTTTGTCTTAAGGTAGGGCACATGGTGGCATCTCATTGGTCTAGGTGTCACCTCACGAGGCTAATATCTGGGACTAGGGTACGTGGAGGAAATGACATCCCAATATTGTGTTGTCTTTGTAGCCTGCCATGTGGGTTCATGCATCCATACTTGGACATTAACATAATTAATGTAGTAAACCTTATACCCAACCATAGCAGGTTGGAATTCCTAGACCTTTACCCTTTTAAATACTGACTACCTTTTGCTCAACTGTAAGTTGTAACACGTTATACGTGGGCTTTTCTTGACACTGAATTTTATTTTTGAAGGAATGGAAGTAATCCTTTTTTTTTTTTGGGGACCTTCTGGCATGTTTCACTCTATATGAGGGTATGTCATTTCTAATCTTGATTTATAGTAGGGCTACAAATGAACCTTGTTTCTCGTAAACAACTTAAGCTTAGCTCGGTGTGAAGCTCATTATCCAGTTGAACAAACTAGCAAAAGTTTAAACTCCAATAATGGTTACTTACCAAGTACTATTTCAAGATTAAAATTTTTGAACTCTCTTATTTTGTTTGGTAATCGTTCACATGAAATTTTGTTCTATTTAAATAACATTATCTGTTATGGAGTTGCTTAGATATAACATCATGAAAGTAAATGCTAACATATAAATACCTTAAAAGTAAAGCAGAAAGATTTTGAGCACCTTCTTTATACACATTCAAACCTCTACTAATGTACAATTAATAAATTAGGCAAGCAATAATTTTCTTGCCTGGTACTTTAATCATTAATTTAAAAGTTTGATTACGTGGATATAGGAAAAAGGCCATGCTAACCTCTCTGCTCTTTACCTTGCTGCATTTTCATACTTGTAGACACAAGGTAGTGGATCGACATGTTAGGATACATGCGAGCACCATTTCATGCTTTCCTTGGTTAAGAAATGTGGTATAATAAAACCATTAATCTCAGCATTCTTCTTCATAAATATATGTGAGTATCACATTTCAATATGCACATTACATAGAAGGAAATGTAATATTTCTTAATAAGGGTATCCTCATGTATAATGTGTCTTGGTATTGAATATTTCAACTAATGAGATTCAGTGGGTGAGATGAGCTACCTATCCCTTTAGATTTAACCTGAAATAATTAATCATTTGAAAGGACATGAGGAACTTCTCGTAAGTCTGGCTTAAAAGAGGAGCTAGTTGATGCAATAGTGTATGTTAGAGTTAACCATCGGTTTGATCATTAGTTTTGCAGTAGTTAAGATAATAATGCTAGATTTGGAAATAGAATTGAGTGGAGGAGAGTGTTAGGAACCTGACCAATACGCAGAAGACACAATCTGATGGAATGAGTGAGATCAAATCCTATATCTCGTCCCATGCCGGAATAGTCCAATCCATGTTCCATACCATAGGTTGGGTCACCAGGACTGCAACTAACCACCATGCTTCCTTAGCTATGTTCCTCAGTGGCTCTCACTGTAGGTAGCCTTCATGCTGGCGACTGGGTAGCCTTTGTGGACAACTCACACACAGCTCTAGGTAGGCCTTTCCGTGTCTCAAACTCAGTACTTGGAATGTACCAAGTGTTTAGGAACAATACACTAAGCGTGAGATCAAATCCTATATCCCATTATTGGGATAATCTAACCCATGTCCTATACCATCGGTTGGGCCTACCAGGGATCCAAGATTCTTACACTTTCTTTTAGGTTTGTTCACAGATCTGGTTTAGCTAATATAACAATTGAAATCTGAACAATGTTATGAAACTTGAGCAAAAGCTTTCTTTGCAGCTATAGTTCTAAGAGTATTTTAAACTCTTTGTTAAAGATTATTGTATATTTGTTCCAGGCATTGACAACCTCATAGTCTTGTTCCATTTTGATTGGAAGTTGTTTCCATTAATCCTGTAACAGCTTATCTGCCATCATTGATGAAGATTCAGATTACAATTTGTTGTAGATTTTATATTGCTTTTTAAAATAAAATAAGCCTTTGTTTTTCAATTATTTATTTTACCACTGCATTATTGGAACTGCGATTCTTACTCTCTGCCAATTTTCCTTCTGTATAGAGACACTGTATTTTCCTTTTTTCTGTATTTGTTTTTGTTTTTACTTGGTGATATGAATGAGGGTGTGCTCTTTATTTATTTTGAACTTCCTTTTTGATCTAGTCATCTATTTTTTTAGTTGAAACTAGTTTAAATGATTCCTGGGTGTTGTTTTTTTGGTTGATTACACAATATTTATACATTTTTGGTCTGCCAACTACATACAACAGAACTTTTATATGATTGGATGGGATAAGAGCAGAAATATTTGGAGGGTCTTGAAGCTTGATAGATTAGAGCCTTGTGAGCTAAACATACTTGAAGATTCTACAGCATACTCTGAAATTGAATGCTGTGATCTGCTAAGACGAATACATGAAGGAAACAAGTCGACGGGTGGCCTTAAATTTGTCACCACTTGTTACGGAATTGTTGGTATGTCATATCTGCAAGTTTTTCTACCTTCAAATTCCTATTTTGTTCACTGTAAATCTCATTGTATTTTCTCTGATTTTAGGGTTCGTAAAATTCTTGGGACCTTATTACATGCTGCTTATAACAAAAAGACGGAAGATTGGCACAATCTGTGGGCATGCTGTATATGCCATTAGCAAGAGCGAGATGATTCCAGTTCCGAATTCTACTGTGCAATCCAATATGGATTATTCTAAGAATGAGAACAGGTCTTTTGTCAATTCTGCATGTAAATGTAAAATGTCCATGGTACTTCTAAGGAGACCTAAGCTATTAGAATACAGAAATACTTATATCGCTTTGTATCTAGATGAAAATTGTCTTCCAATGTGGTTGTTTCATCTTAATGTCAATAGAATTCCTTTCGGCCAAATAGTCTGAGTTTGGACGTTATCTTTTAATAATAAACAAGTTCTACATGTGGAGGTAATCTCTATTCTGTTATTGTGGAAACACCCTTCAGTGTTATATCAACAGCGTGGATCACTTCAAAGTAGTATTTTTTTCGTCTGATAGTTATCATTCTTCTTTTACAATTCCAAAACAAAGAATACATCAATCATATTTAAACTGAAGAAATATTAAATGCCACCATATCCATCCTCTGTAGTTAATATTCTTCATAGAGGCTTTTGCCAGTATATTTCCGGCAAATGTACAGGGGCAAACTTCATTGCTGTTGTGATATAAATATAAGACAAGGTATCATCTGGGTTTCAGGGGGGGAAGTTAATTTCTTTTTCTTTACATTTTTCTGGTTAAAATTATATCTAGAATGTTGTTTCTCTCATTTTCTATTTGCCCTTTGACCAGTTACTGAATTTGTAATTATTTGCTTTGCCTTTGCTTTTTCTGTTCATGACATAGATACAAGAAACTCCTATGCTCAGTGGATCTTACAAAGGACTTCTTTTTTAGCTACTCCTATCATGTCATGCATAGTCTACAGAAGAACTTATCTAATCGTGAGACAGGACAAATCCTTTATGAAACAATGTTTGTCTGGAACGACTTCTTAACTCGTGGAATCCACAATCACCTCAAGAATACTCTGTGGACTGTTGCATTGGTATATGGCTTCTTTAAACAGGTATTGGCTTTCTTTTGGATACAGCCAGTTTGTAGATATTTGGAAAATAAATAAATGAGCAACTGAATGGATATGATTAGTTCATCATTTATTTTATTTGGTTTTTTTTTTTTTTTTTGCCTCTTTATAGTGATGTATTGAGACTGCCATAAGGAGTCTTGCTACAGTGTAACTTTTTATGCAAAACAATTTTTGTTTCTGATGCAATAGAATGCTCTTTGTCGCACCATGGGGAAATTCAGTAGTTATTATGAGCATGCATCATGTTCTTTTTTCTTCTGTAATTATTTTTTGATTTTGTTATGTAATTGGTTGACCCATCAGTAGTATGGTGTGATTTTTGTAACATACTGGATGTAACTTGAGTACATTTATATCAAGATTTTAATCAAGCAAATTACATGATAAGGAGCGCATTTTCGTTTTTTTTTTTTAACCAGATAACCTCAAGGCTACCATTGACCAGTTTTGTGGTTTATGCAAATGATCAAGCATCTCTCTTCATGATTCAAATGTTTTTACTGTAATGTTTCTGATTTCCTATTTGAAGTATGAGGTCAAACTTTCAAAATTATGTAACCACATGTTTCCATGTTTTCTAATACCAGGTCAAACTTTCAGTATCTGAAAGGGACTTAAAGTTGACCCTCATTGCTAGGCGATCACGTCATTATGCTGGCACCAGGTTTGGAAATTTTTGACTACTAAAAAATGCTTCCATCATGAGACAAGTGACTATGTGCTCTAAATAACTCATTTGGTGTACATGTAATATTATTTGCTGTATAAATGCTGCAATTTTAGTGCCCAGCATGCTGCGTGTGCACCTCATGTAGGGCAAGGCACACGATATCATGCTAGGTCTTGCAATTTCACCTATGTGGCCATGATTGTAATGTCTTTTCTTCAAGGTATTCTAGCTGCTCCACTGTTACTGGTGTTAAACCAGAAAGTTATTCTTGTAGGTCCTTTTGGATGACCAGTTTGTAAATCAATGAATGTGTAATGACTGCGTGAAAAATGTAGATTCCTCATCCTTAAAAAGAGATTCTCTCATGCTATCATTTTGTTTTTTTTGCTTTCTTTGTTCTGGTTTAGATATCTGAAACGAGGTGTAAACAAGAAGGGCCGAGTAGCTAATGATGTTGAGACGGAACAGATTTTGTTTGAAGAAGTTCCTGAAGGATGCCCGATGCAAATAAGTTCCGTAGTGCAGAACAGGGGTTCAATACCCCTTTTCTGGTCACAAGAAACTTCAAGATTGAATATTAAGCCAGACATCATATGTATGGTTTGGCCACTGACGTTTTTTTTTTCTTTTTCTGAAGATGGTAATGTTCCATCATGTTTTGCTCACTGATCTTTATGTTTCCAGTATCAAAGGAGGACAATAATTATCAAGCCACTAGACTTCACTTTGAGAATCTTGTCAAGCGATATGAAAATCCAATTATTATATTGAATTTGATAAAGGTAGGCTTTTGTGCATTAACTAATGAGCAACGTAGTATTTTAATGATGCTCATTATGTTTATGTTCATCAGAATCTGATTTGAGTCTTCAACCTTCTTTTACTTTGTCTTTTGTACTGATTTATGTTTAAAAGACCCGTGAGAAGAAGCCCAGAGAATCTATTCTGCGTGCTGAGTTTGCCAAGGCTATTGCTTTCATTAATAAAGATTTAACGGAGGAGAATCGCTTGAAGTTCCTTCACTGGGACCTGAACAAATACTCTAAAAGGTACATAGGCTTCTCCTTTCTTATGTTCAATTTTCATACTAATGTAACACCAACACGTATCATTGACATGAATGTGACCTGATTTTTTTTTCCAGCAAAGCAACAGATGTGCTGTCGCTTTTAGGCAAAGTGGCTGCATATGCATTGAACTTAACTGGCTTCTTCTATTGTCAAGTAGCACCAACTTCAGGCACCCAGGGATTGTTAAATTGGTCATATTTTGAGTAAGTTTAAATAAAGGCAGCTTCATTTATGGCATGCTTCTCTCTTTTCTTTTCTTTTCTTTTCTTTCTTCTTCTTCTTTTTTATTTTTATTTTTTAATCTTTTCTACAATGTGTATATTACTCCCTGAACATCTAACATGTCTGCCATACCATTTGACAAGTTGATGTTCATGGTTTTTTTTACATGGCATCTTGCTGATTTAATCTTTGCCTGGCTGGTTTAACCTTAGGTTATGACTCTGGCAGATTGAGCAGTTTTCTTATGTGAGCATTTTTTTCAATTAAATAAATTGTCTTCCATTTAACATTATCAATGATGATGATCAACATTAGTTACAGAAGGGAGTCTGAATTCAGCACCTCAAACCTGATAGAGCTTGGATAGGCGGTGGGCATGTTGTCCATTCCTTAGGTTTTTTCTGTGTTCGTCTTTAAACTGAGCAAAAACTGTGCAAATAGTACCCTGTTCAATATATTAATATGTCAAAGATATAATTTGAAGATTGCACAAACCTGTTGTTTCATACAACACTCCTTTGGATTTTAAAACCTTTAATTTGTTTATTCAAAACCATTGCTTTGAAACTTCTAAATTGAGGGAAAAGAAAGGGAAGAAAAAATGAGGCAATTGCTTTATAATTCATGATTCATGATTGTCTTCCTTGATTATAGTTTTTTTGTTGGATCCACATATATAATTGAGACTTTTAAGCAGCTACTACAGGACCCACTGATTGCTGAGAATCAATCTCTGGCCTGCATCTCATAGTTATTTGCTTTTATGTTGCTTGCAGATTCTGATTAGCCTAACACTTCTAAGAAACATTTGATGCAGGAACAATGATAATAGTGATTGCTATGTACAGAACTTTTGTGATGATACTAAAAAGGATGCTGACAAGGAAACAAGAGATAATAGTAGTAGCATTGATGCAGGTGGAAATCACTATGGCAAACTCCCGAAGTTTCAAAAAGGGGTCCTAAGGACCAATTGCATAGACTGTTTAGATCGCACAAATGTTGCGCAATATGCTTATGGGTTGGTTGCTCTTGGGCATCAGCTGTATGAGTTAGGACTTGTAGACGAGCCAAATATGGACATGGATTCCCCTTTGCCAGATGATTTAATGAGGGTCTATGAGACAATGGGCGACACACTTGCACTACAATATGGTGGATCTGCAGCACACAATAAGGTAATCCTTCTAAGTGATTGACTAGGAGACATTTATATTTTTTGAGAGAGTTAGTTATATGTTGAAAAAATTTTGGATGCCAGGAACCTCAAGAACCTCAATTGAAGTTTATTTTTTCTATAACAATATTTCGGTTGAGTGTGGTTTTGATATTTGGTTTGTACGAGTATGGTAGGCAATCACTTTGTATTTTTTCCCCTTGGAATCCAACTTTACCAAGACCCAAGAGTGTCTAATAACATTGATATATTGACGTAGTTTAGTTCTCAATTCTTTATGTTTAAGTAGTTCTCCATTTTGAAGGTTAAACACAATCATTATACAACTGTTTTAAGTTTTGAACTTTGTTTGGCTGGAGAACAAGCATTAGACAATTATGATGGTTTTTTGGAGAACAAGTTTTTGACCAATAAAATGAATTAATATAAGCAAGCTTTTGAAATTGGAGTATTTTCCTTGAAAGTAACAGTGGAATTACAACTATGTGTCCTGTCATCAAACTTCCAGCTCAACAACTGATTTCCATCCACAAATGAGCTAATCCTCCATTCTCACTCTGAATGCATTTCCCTCATATACCTTAATTGTGTTATGCCTCATCAACTGTGTACGCAGCCTGCAGCAGAACCCTGATTGGATCTGGGTTTATAAATTTATGTCAGTACTCAGTACACATTTCTCTTTTTCATCACATTCCCAAATAAGGCCCTACTAATTGATTGTTTTTGTCAATTTTTCGAATACTATTTAGTGCCTTAAATTGTGTCTTCATCCTCATGTGTCTTCCAGATATACTAAGGACACATGACCATGTGACAATTCACTGTGAAGTCATCTGAGTTCCGATATATTTCTTTCTTATTGTGGTATTGTTTAAATTGGTAGAACTCTCCACGTTCCTTCACTTTTGTGATGCTAAACAGATATTCTCCCGTAGAAGAGGTCAGTGGAAAGCAGCAACTCAGTCCCAGGAATTCTTTAGAACTTTACAGCGGTACTACAGTAATGCTTATATGGATGCTGAAAAGCAAGATGCAATCAATGTGTAAGTTTGATGTCATTTTATTTCCCTTTGATTTTCCACGTTTGTACGGGGACAAGATACAGCATTCTGTTAAAAACTGCTTGTCCTTGGTAGAGCATAATTTTTGTTCTATCATCATCTTTTGTGCATTAATTCAATTTTGTGTTTTTAATTTCTGACGTGCATTTGGCTTGATGTTTGAGCAGCTTCTTAGGACATTTCCGGCCGCAACAGGGTAAACCTGCTCTTTGGGAAATGGATTCAGATCAGCATTACAATATTGGAAGGCATGGTTCTGCCGATGAAAATGCAAGGTACAAGTGTTACGTTTTTGTAGCATGATCATTCTTTTAATCTTGAAGGGATGTTGGATAAACAGTATCATTCTATTAACAATGTATAGATCATATCAGTATTCCAAATAATGATAACAAATTAATAAGAAAATTAGAAGAAAATAGAAAGAAGGAAAATGGAAGTAGATGATCTAGTTTTATAGCTTGTTAAAGAATTCAGTAGTCATGTGGATCTAGTTTTCATTTTGGAGAAAATATTCGTCTCCCTATTAAATGCTCTCTCTCTCTCTCTCTCTCTCTCTCTCACACACACACACACACACACACAATTTTTCTTCCTTTTTGCTGTAAATTTTTGTTATAAACCTAAATCACAGCTGGAGACATGAAAGACATCTTGAAACTCCTTACTTCTGGAAGCCATGACAAAAATTTCCTTAGCCTTCAAGTAATGCAAAAGTTCGTATACCCCTTAGTTTGAATATTGACATTTATTAATCTAAATCACTCATCCATGCCTAGTTGATGCTTAGTATGGTGGAGAGTGATTTTCTTATCTATTTCCCCAAGGTTATAAAATATATCATATATGTACTAGTTTCTTCAATTGGTGCCACTTCTAACTTCTTTTGAATGAATATATTTCTTATTTTATTTGTTCTTGTAACACTACTCATCCATCTCAACATTCTCATTTTACCTACACTCATTTTATGAACATGTTTTTTTAATCACCCTACGTTTAGTGCCATACATCCTATGAAGCACGGGTACGAGTACGAGTACTGGTACGATATGAGTACGTCGATATGGTAAAATTCAAAAAAAGTAGGGTACAAGTACGGTTTGGTACATTTGTAAAAAACTATTTATTTTTAATTTAGAGTATTGTAAAAATTGATTAAATGGTTTAATTTCTTAAAATCCAACCTACAATTAACATTTAATGCCAAAAGTAAAGATATAAACTAAAATTAAATGTCATTATATTAAGGCCTCGTTTGGCAAGAGGCTATTTTAGCCAAAAAGCTAAAAAGTTACTAAAAAAGCCAAAAAGCCAACAACTCATACCAAAAAGTCAAAGATTCCCTTTTCTCTCTACTTTTTGCACATCTTTTCGTAAAAAGTCAAAAAGTCATCCCAAACATACTAGTTTTTTTTACATCACATTTTAGCCAAATAGCCAAAAAGTTACTAAATTAGCCTGTTCCCAAACGAGGCCTAAATAGCTTACAAATCATTGCTTAATTTTAAAATCATGCTAAGTATAAAATAAAAAATAAAATAAAAAAAAGTTTTGTGGAAGAATTTTATCTGTGTAGTAGAAGAAGATATTGTTTCGACTGAGGTACAGTACAGCTTGAGTATATACTAGGTATGTTTGGATACGCCAAAAACTAAGAAGAAAAAATTTAGATACGTGTTTTGTGTACTCGTTACGTATGCAGAAGTACCATACGAAGTAGCATACACCGGTAAATACTCGGTACAGATACGACATGTTTGTCGAAGTACCCATGCTTCATGGCATACATCATAACAAATCCAATGACAATGTGTAAATTTTTTCACTCAACTTAATAGGAATCTTATAATCGCACAACATTCCCTATACAGTCATCTCATCAATCCCACCCTAATTTTGTGGGCCATATCCTCCTTAATCTCCAACTTTGTGAATAATTGATCCAGCATATAAAGAATGGTCACTATTCTTACCCACCAAGTTGTACTTTATCTTCCTCCCTATTTCTAGTTTTGCTAAAGTTACAATTGTTATATTCTATCTTAGTCCTACTTAATCTAAACTTTTAGATTTTGAAATATCTCTCCACAATTTTGGCTTAAAGTTCTCTCATTCTCTTGTTTCGTCAACTAAATTTGTATCGTCTGCAAATTTTATACACTGAAGATATCCTCTTTGAATGCCCTTTTTAAGTTCATCCATAACTATGTATGTAAGCATGTTGGAAATACTATATTTGTGATGTGATATCTATTAAACTATATGACAAAAAATGAGGTTTCTTTCAAAATGTTTAATAAGTCTACATTTTGTATGTGTGTAGGACATTTTTAAAGAGATCATTATCAGACGGCAACATTCTATGTGAAAGCAACTCACCCATTGAAGCCACTGATGTTGGACAGAATGAATATCACAATCAGCCTTTGCCTTATAAGACACAAGGTCTTTCAGAGTCAACTCCAGAAATCTCAACTTGTGAAAGTGAATTATCCTATTCAAGGTGAGCTTACATCACTTTGTTGAATCTGGTACTTGAAGGAGCTCCTTTATCTTTTGACTTTGTTCTCTACACGTGCAATTGGGCTTTCCCATTATTTGATTCACTGAAGCTAATATAATGGCCAAAATTGACCATCTAACTTACATTCCTTGAAGAATAAAGTAAAAGGGCTCTGATAAAAATATAGATAGTGTTTGGTAGTGTTTTAGAAATATGATTTGAGAATAAAGTTGTATTTTGAGTTTGTGAGTTTTGGAATTATGATTTGAGTATAGAAAATTTGTTTGGTTAAGAGTTTTGAAAAGAGTTTTACATTGAGTTTTGAGTTGAGTACTGAATTGAGTTTTGAATGCTTGATGTGACATGTGAAATAAAAAAATTTGTTTGGTTATGAGTTTTGAAAAGAGTTTTCAAAACTTAATTCAAAAAGTTATAACTCATAACCAAGTACACAACTTAAAATTCTATTGAAAATTTTATTCAAAACTTATAACCAAACTCTTTTTAACATTCAAATAAAAAAAAAATGTCATTTTGGTTTGAAAAAAATAATTTTTATATTTAAAAAATATCAAAACAAATCTAATTTTTTTTTCTCCAAATAACAGGTGGCAATTGGCGATTGGCAATTGCACAAAAAAAAAAAAAATTTATACTGTTCCGGTCAACCGGCCGGATGTCCAAGGGACGTCCAGAAAGATGACTGGGTAAATCCAAAATTCAAAAATTCTCTGATTTTCAGAATGGAGAACAAGAAAGAGAGAGTAGCAAAACGTGAAGGAGAATTACATTTTGAAATGTGTGGTGGAATCACATTTTGAAAACTCAATCCAAACATGAAATGCAAATGGAGGGGTGGAATTATATTTACAGAACATAAACACAGCCATAATGTTCCTAAGTCATCAATTTGTCAAAAAACCAGTTTGGACCAGCCAATTGGACTGGATTAGCTCCGATATGGAGCTCTTATAGACCAAGTGCCCAGGTGACCATAAAGTTGATGCAATTCAGAAAGCGTAGCTGCACTAAAGCTTTAACTTGCTGGACTCATCAGGAGTGGTCAAATAATCTACCCAGATGATATGAATGGTGAATTTGAAACTGTTAAAGTATCATCTAACAAAAAAATGTGGATTCTGATTACTATTAAGACTTTTGTCTTTTGAAAATTGAATGAGTTATTTCAAATACCAAATGAGCCCATCATATTTGATAAACATTTGAAGCTTGCATATTGTATACATCTTATATTTAAAATGTCTCTCTAGTATTGTTTTGCATGCATAGCTTGACTCCTCTTGGAAGTTAAAGTCACTGTTTGTGCTTCAAGTAGTGTTGAACATGTGGTGTGGTATGCGATATGATGGCCAATTAAATCTTACATTGTACACTTACATAATTTAATAATTGCAACTTTCCTCTGATTAATTGGCTGTCTTGCGCAGGTATACCCCCTCCATGTCTAGTACGCACCTTTTTGCAGATATGCAGCAGAACCAATATCTGGAAAATGATCATGTTTGTTTGGATGGACATCGAGATTCATTCCACTGCTCAAATTTTTTGGACGTGGATTGGCTTTCATCATCTGGAAATTCATGTGAAGAAGAAACTTACGAAAGGTGATTTTTGAGATTCTGTTTAAGTAATGATTCTTGAAATGTTGTTCTGAAATAAGCTTAAAGTTAAATATTTTAATTGCCGTCATCATCAGCACCACTTCATTTATTCAGTGTCTGTCACTGCTAAGGGCCACGTCTTTTTTTCCTCTGCCGTCATCGCCATCATCACCACACCTATACCCTTTGTCAGCCATCAACTACTTTGCGTACAAACATTCTTTGAGCCTTTATGTTTAATAAGAGAAAAATACTACTTTCACATAGTAATTTGCTATAGCAGCAGGAACCAAACCAAATTAAGCCTTGTGTCCCATTCAACTTGGGTTGGCTACATGAATCATTTTTGTCATCCTGCTCTGTCAAGGGTTATAGAGTCGGTTAAATTAAATAAATTCACATCCTTTCCTTGACATCTTCATTTGTTCATAGAAGTTGTCATCAATTATGTGCGTGTGACTACTATCATTCATATCTGTAGATATTATACTTCTCTTGTCATGTTCTTAAATTCATACAAATCAACACCTCCTTCCCTTGCCATGTTCTGTGGTTTGAACCCTGGATTTAATGGCTGCAGATCTATGCTCATAAGCTCTCCTATTACCGATATGTCATCAGGTAGTGTTGTTGCTGGACTTAAAATGGAGTCAGGTGCTTCTGCTAGTACATCTGGGTCCAGCATGAAGGTCAGTAATATATTGATTCTTTCTGTTGACATTGTCATGACATGGTATACTCGTCAATCAGAAAATGTGCCCTGCATACATACATGTAGTGTCTAGATTGCCATACCAACCATTTGTTATAATTCTTGATGCATTTGCACTTTTTTTTTTCATTTTTTTGGGAGTCTTAGTTTTTTATCCTTGTTGAGTCGATACTCGAAACAATTACTCAAGTGTAGTTATTCTAGGATTTCATCACTTTTGGTTTTCTGTTTTATCCAAAATGCAATTTTTTCTGTGGTAAATCTTGGTGAAGTTATTTGTTTCTGGAAACATGAACATTGTCATGACATGGTATACTCGTCAATCAGAAAATATGCCATGCATACATACATGTAGTGTCTAGATTGCCATACCAACCATTTGTTATAATTCTTGATGCATTTGCACTTTTTTTTTTCATTTTTTTGGGAGTCTTAGTTTTATATCCTTGTTGAGTCGATACTCGAAACAATTACTCAAGTGTAGTTATTCTAGGATTTCATCACTTTTGGTTTTCTGTTTTATCCAAAATGCAATTTTTTCTGTGGTAAATCTTGGTGAAGTTATTTGTTTCTGGAAACATGATAAAGCCCCGAGTGTACAAAAGATTTTCACTGAATGGGACATAAATATTCCCCACTTGTATGGGTCCGGCGCCTTTGCCACATATCTATATCGTGAAAATCTATGGTATTCCTAACATAGCTATTGAAACATATATTGCTCTTTTGCCATATAATTATTTCATCATATTTTTTATTTAATCCTTTTGTGAAGAAATTATGATGGAACTGATCTCACTTATTATGATGTGCACAGACTCTCCCAGAATTTTCTGAAAGCTTCATGCTCTGGGTTAGCTATGGCGAGATGCTGTCCCATTGAAGTTTTGCTGCAGTTTTATTATCAAAATTAAATATTTTCTTGCCAGCGTAATTTGATTCAATCTTACCCATCCGAAGGATGTGGATTTCTCAACAGTAAATATATTGCAGGAGATCAACACTCAGAATGAGAAAAATAAAATATTACTAAATAAAGAAGAAGAAGAAGAAGAAGAAGAAGGAGACGAAATAGGATTAGCTTGGAAAATAGATTCTTCTGGACAAGTGAAATTCAGATCTTGTAAATTTGCAGCAGTTGTCCCGATCATGAACTGAGAACAACGTAGGAAGTAGTAGTACATTTGAGTAACCAAAACAAACTAATTGTTTGTTGGCAGTGCCTCTCAGTTCCTCTTTCCCCGGTCTCTTTAAACTCAGAAGTTTTCCAACTTTGTAAATATATTAGAAGTGTGTTCTGATAGTTGGAGCTCCATTTTTATAGTTTTCTTTCATAAACACATTACATTTTTTATTTAAATTAAAAAACCTTGTTAATAGGGTAATGTTTCAGTTCTAGTTGTTCTACCAGATTTTGGACAGGCAGCTCTCAGGATTCATTGATGCTACCAGATTTTGGAGTACTGGACAGGGCAAAATAGCAACTTTTAGCAAGATACTGGGGCCCATATGTGGCTGCCATAAATCGAAGCGTCAAGTACATGCTTCAAAAATTACGTTCTGCTGAAGATGCTAGAAAATGCCTCTCCAAGGGTGATGAGTGTATATCACACATGTTTGTATAATCAAGAGTAAAAGAAATGGAGATATCTAATGGTACTTGCCCAAAAAAGAAGATACCTAATAGTGAATGTTCCATTAGATAATAGAAAATCACTGATTGTTTAATTTTTCAAAATGGGGAATTAGTAGTATTTTTTGAGGACATGGGTACAATATATTGATAAAGCATCGATAGTACAGAAATAAGACCCAAAGGGTCATTCCAACCAAACAATAAAAGAAAAAACAAAACAAAACAAAACAACAATAAAAAACAAATCTGTCAAAAAAACAGTTACGATTTAAAGAAAATCACTGATCTTTTCAAAGATGTGGTCTGGAAGAAAGCCTGCCATCCCTGTCGACAACGTCCCTGTCGTTGCTGCCCAACGTCGCCGCCACTGTCGCCAGAGAAGGGAGGACACCCACAATGGTATGGGAGAAGGATGTAGAGATGAGGAAACCATCGTGGGTGTCAAAATATCAAAAATTTATGCCGAAATCAGAGGAGAAAACTCTCAAAAACTCTTATTTTGGACATAAAAAGTTCAGATCTACACTTGAAAATTGTAGATCTATACTCTAAGAGTGTAGATCTACATTTTGAAAGTAGAAAAAGGATCATCGAAAAGTCGTTGGAGCTTTGTCGAAAATCACTTAGAGAGAAAGGCTCTGCCTTCTCCCTCTCTGTGACTGGAGAATTAGTAGTCTTTACATGATAATAAATATATCAATAAAAAGTAAACAAAACAACAGTGTTTGATGATAAACCAACCAAGGACATGTAAATAAATTGCCCCAAAAAAAAAGAAAAAGGAAAAGAAAAAAGAAGAAGAGAAGGTGATTTGGATTGAATTCATGTAGCCGATCTCATTTTATGAGATTTAAGGTATGTCTTGGTTTGGTTTGTGTGACAACCCTGATCCATGATTAACTGTTAATCCATAACTAAGAATGTTAATCAAGTAATTAAATGAAATCATGTGTTAATTGTGTGTTTCATGTGTTATTTATGTTTCTATTTGTCGATTGAGAAATATCTGTTTGTAATTCTGTTTCAATATAAAAATTGAAGGCCTTATCGGCATCTGAACATGAAATAGACTAGGTTCACGTGTTAGTTAGGATTTTTAGTATTTTATGACAACTTCAATTGAAATTTGATTCGAAATCAAATAATTAGAATAAATTACTTAGAGTTAATGACAATTAATTAGTCTAAGCTTAATGTGCCTATATAAAGCTAATGTGCTTTCTAGAATACACTATATACTTCACTCTCATCTCTTTGAGCTCAAGAAAAACGTAGGAGATGGAGAGATAATGTGAGAGAGTTGAATTCAAGAAGAAAAAAGAGGAATTGCTATAGAAGTGAAGAAAATTTGAGAAGACATTCAAGAATTGCTTGAATTCAACGACTTGTGGACTTTAGGTAAAAGTTTAATTCACACTTTATGAGCTTAGCTAACTCACATGAGAATTCAAGATAATGTAAGAATTAATGCTTGATTTGAGCTAAGAAAGTAGAATTAGAGAGCAAATCATACATGCATGCATATTTCATGGCATTTTGAGGTTGTTTTCCAACGAATTCTCACATGCATGTAATAATCTTAACTTTATTTTGAGAATTCATCATATATCATGCCATTTTATCTCAATTGTACAAGTTTTAAAAGCAAAGACTTTTAAATTCATGCTTGCATGTGTATTAGATATATAGTTTCAACTTGATTATGAAGAATTTGTATGCTTTTGGGCTTTGATTTTGTAAATCATTTCATATTTTTCTACAAGTTTCCAAGTGTTTTCTACAGTTTTGGCCCAAAAGAATGAGTTTTGATATGTTAAACTTATGTTTTGAACTTCAATGTGAAATCTGGAAATTTCTAAGTTCGCAGGGTTTGCTCGAGTGGTGAATTCTTCACTCTAGCATACTTTACGAGCTCTCAAAAGTTTTGTAAACAGTGTAGTTGGCTTGAGCGACCAAAGCTTTGCTCGAGCTAACTCACATTTGTTAGGCTCATGGTTCGCGCAACCAAAAAGTTTATTCAAGCGTAAAATGAGAGCTCTCAGAAGTTTTGTAAACCAAGGGGTCCGCTCGAGCGACCAAAGCTTCGCTCGATCTGTTTTTTGAAATTTTGCAAAGTGTTTTCAAAGAGCATAATTGCATCCTCATTGCATCATAAACATTCTTAAGCTATGATTTAGGCTACAACAATGAGAAAATGAATTAAAAACACACCTAAAAAGAAATGTATTAAGTCAAGTGTCTTCAGAGTGTATGTTTCAGTGTGTATCTGCCATGTGTTTGTGTAGGTCAAGCGCCATTGTCCGTCTGATCTGTCTGATTCATCTGATCTGCTTCTAGAGTTGTCTGTGAAAAACAACTATAAAGTTATGCTTGACTATAAGTATTTTCTGATTGATATGATATGATTTATTTTTTGAAATGCTATTTTATGAATCATAAATGAATTTCTAATTTTCTAAAATGTATTCGTGGCATCCTTAGCACCATGTGAATCTATTATGTGTTATCTGTTACCTGGTACCAAGGTTTCACGTGGGTTCCATCCATGGAACTAATTATGCATAATCAACTATCTACTCTACACGTGGGTCTTAATAACCATCTCAAGTGAATATGTGTCTTTATGGCCAACTAACCTGCGCGTGGGTCTTAATGACCATTTCATGTGAATATGGGTCTTTTATGACCAACTACTTTATACGTAGGTTTTTATGACCAATCTGATCGGTTAGCTATTGGATGTACTATGTATAACTGTTTACAAATCTGAATATGTATAAGAATTTGTTTCTGATTTCTGAATCCATATGAGCATCATTCATCAAATCCTTTACTCTATTGTTATTCACTAGGCTCCAGCTTATTTTTTATATTATGTATGTAGGTGATCAGACGCGTGACCAAGCTTGAGACTTCGAGTCTAGATCTGTTCTGTTAAGCCAACTACCATGTCTCACATGGAGGTTTTTGAAAGTCTTTTGTGCATGAGTTCTATAGCAACCCTCACTTTATTCTAGTCATGCTTGCATGTATTTACATGATCTTGTCTTGATAAATTACATTTACAAACCTTGTTTTTTTCGCATAAGTGTTGCTTGCATGCTTTGTTCCTTGCTTGGTGTGAGTTTATCTGAGGTCATCTTAAGCCTAGGTTACACCTTTGAACTTCTTACAACTAGGACCATCTTGGAACCACTTTGGTTGACCTCCACCCTCACCCTGACATGTTGGTCGAGATGTCATCATCTAGACCGAGGTGTTCATCACCAAGGCCGAGATGTGGATTATCTAGGCCGAGATGTTATACTAAAGTGATCTTGTCCCTGGACTGGTACGACCTAGACCGAGGTGTGGCACATCCAGGCCAAGGTGTGGCACAGCTAGGCCAAGTGTTGTCCTTCCTAGCCGAGATCATTGAGACCTTACTTGTCGAAGCTTTGTCCTAGCCGAGATCATTACCCGCCGAAGTGCCCATGTCACCTTACTTGTTGCTTACACTTTGTCATGCTCTTGTCTTATCAATCTATCACCTTTTTGAGGAGATCCAACCAGCCGTTGCCACGTGTTCCAGCAGAGGATTAAGTCAGCCGGCAGAGTTAGAAATATATCATTTTGTGTCATATCTCTTACATGGTAGAGAGAGAAGCTCTAGGAAGAGGAGAGGAAGTTAGAGTGAGAGAGCTAGATCCTAAGTTTGATCTTTAGAGTTTGAGCCGTTTAATCCGTGCTTTGAAGTTAGAATCTTGATTTACTCTTGTTATTTTTTATGTTGATCCGATTGCATTGCATGATCTAGCATGATTCATGAGCCATGCATTGATTTAAAGCTTGCTTTAGAAAGAGAAAATGATATTCTTACGTTCTTGAGATAAAACCATGTTTTGATCCGAAAGTTTGTAACAAGTTCCATGTTTTTGTGTTTGTTTCCATGAAATCTTCAAGTATGGATACCCAGGTCCATGTTTTCAAACTCATCTCATGAAAACTCAGATTTCGAATAAAGAAACTATGAATTTAGCATTCGGGAACACACCTCGGCCAAGAGGTGTGGGATCTCGGCCTAGACCTGGTTAGTACCCAGCAT